TGAGAGTAAAAGAGTTTCAACTTCCAAGAAGTTGAAAAGTGGAAGAAATCTTTTACCAATTACCAAAGAATTGAAACTATTCCAATTTGAAAATCAGTTTCGTTTGGTTTGAGAACCATAACTGTTTTAGTTTGGCTAAGCCCAAAAGAGTGGCCCAAAAAGAAAAGAAAGCTATGTACTAAAGGGAAATTATTCCTATTGGGTTCTCAAGGCCCAAAATAAAACTATCATTTTTCATTCCCTATAGTTCTAATTTCTACTTAGGACGAGGTAGTACCAAAACAAATATGAATTTTATTTTTAAAAGAAAAGTGGTACTATTTTTCCAATGTCCTGTTCATTTTAAAAAATCCTAAGGACCAGTACTTTTAGAGCTTGTTGGAAATGAATTAAGGACTGAAGCTTAGTTTAAGAAGGCAGATTTTGTAAAGTACCTGAATCGGAGATTTCCAATTTTAGTACCAAAACTGAGATATCCATCTTCCATTGCTTAGAGCTTATCAATAATTCATTGCCAAAAACAATTGTTAGCCAAAAACTTAGTTAAGTTCCCCCTGAATGTATGCGCTAGGAATAAATCTCAAAAACATACTTGAGTTAGGTATAATCAAGCTTAGTAAGCACAATTAAGAGAAATGTTAAGGCAATGTTTAAACCAATAAAGCAATGTTTAGAAAAGAAGGTGTTTTCATCAAAGCAAATTAATGTTTTCACATACTTTTCCCTCTGGTTTGATGAAAAAAAGCCTTCAGTGCTTCTTGCGCTTTGAAGATTCAGCAATCTCCCTGATGCCTTGCATGTTTCCACATAGTTCTTTGATGCGCCTTATGTTGTTGCGTCTCTCCTCTGTTTGATTTTCATTTGAGAAGTGAGCAGCAATTGTTCCTACAGCCTCTGTTCCATCCAATCCGGAGTTGGATAAGCGCTGTGTTGAGTTTTCCGGATTGCTTCTCTGAGCTTCAAGGACTAGATCAGTCAAGTTTAGATGCGTAGGAATGTAAGAGACTTCTCCTTTTTTGACTGCAATGGGGAGCTCTGGAATCAAGGACGGACTGTGTGGTTGAAGAACCACTTCCATCTTGCGATTTCCAGAATTTGTGGTAAGAAGTCTGAATAGTTTGTGTGCTTCCTTCTGATTGTCAATGATTACCTTCAAGTAGTCTTTGGTTACTACTTGATTTGCTGAAGATACTGCTAGAGCTGCTCTGATGTCCATTTGGAGAATGGACATTTGTTTTTGTAGACTGATTGTGACATTTGCTATTTGCTCTCTGATTTTGTTAACCTCCTTGAGTTGAAGATAAATGTCAGATGCATATGTCTCCATCGTGTTGCTCACAGTGTTACTCAATAGAGATAAGATCTCTAGAGTTTTATCCACTGATTTGCTTATCTCCTTGAGATTGGAGAAGTGTGTCTCTTCGGATTTCTCAATCAGTTTGTTGTGCCTGGCTTCCATCTGCTCTATCTCTTGCCTAAAGGAGGCATGTTGAGATGCTAGGGCTGATTCAATCAACCCTTGGACCTTCTTTGTCCAGATTTCCGGTACCTCATCCGGAAGAGTAGGAATGGAAGAGCTATGAAAATGGAAGTTGGTTACCTGATGAGAAGAGGGTGTTCTTTGGAAGAGTTGCATAGGAAGAGATTCAACATTATCTTGTACATCTTCTTCATCATTGATCTTCAGGGTCCTTTCAGATTCTTCTTCTGCTTCCCCAAGTGTAAAATTTGATATATCCCGAGAGAGGGAGTCTCTTTCTTTAGCTTCATTCTGTCCTTCAAAAATGGCTACTGGAGATTTGGAGGCCTCCAGTTCTGCCATTTGAGTTTCCTTATCAGCTTCTGCAGAATTTCTCTGCGCTTCTTCAGCTTGCTCTTCTTGAGCTTCATTTGTTTCTAGAGTTTTGGACATCTCCAGATTTTCTGCTGACTTCTCCGGGATCTCAGTTTCAGTAGGATTAGTGATCTCACAAGGATTTGTGAGAATCTCTAAAGCTTCAGAATGGAGAAGTTGCTGGAGTTCTTCATTTGATCCTTCCTGGTTCTGTTTTTGTGGAGTAGAGACTGCAGCTTCAGGTAGAACAGTTTCAAAGGCAGATGAGGTTTCCGGAAATATTTGGAAATCCTCAGCTGTTGTTTCCAAGTTAGCCTGTGCTTCAGAAGTGAGAACCACCTGATCTTCTGTGGTTTTTGAGAGGACTGGTTTGTAGACTGCAGGATCCTCATCATCCACTTCAAATTCTGAAATTGGTGAGGTGACCAAGTGTTCCAGATGCAAATCTTTATAGTTCCTTTGCCATACCCAGTCAACATCTAGGATTTGCTCACAGCAATAGTTGACTGGCAGACCTAAGCATTTCTTGATGATCTTCTCATTCTTCAGCTGCTGGTCCCAATTCAGAAACTGTTCTGCTGAATTTCCAACTTTCCAAGCTCTCCCGTCATAGTAGAGCTGCCAGAATTGATTCTCAGCATCATCTACTTGAGGTTGTGAGGAGGTTGGAGAATTCTGAACTTGAGGAATTTCTTCTTCAAGTTGTTGAGGACTCCGGTTGTGGGCAGAGGTTTCCTCAGTTGGTTCCTTCTCCTTCAACTCATCTGGATTGACATATCCAGATGTTGAGGGAGAGGTGATTTTCCTCTTCTTTTTCCTTTGTAGTTCTCCTTGGTCAGAGAATTCTTCTTCTTCTTCAAGATTGATTGGAGCAAGGTTTTGTGGTGCTTCAGCACTAGGAGAGGGAAACACCACTTGCTTCCTCTTTACAGACTTGGTTCAGACTCATGATAAGAACATTGTCTGAAGAACTTTCCTCTGCAGTTGTGCTAGCACCAGCTGTGTTTTCCCCTTTGGAAGACAGATAGTATAGCCAATATCTGGCTTCATACTTCTTTCCTTTAGAAGCAGCACCCAAGGACTCCAAGATATGTCCAATGTACAGACCTTGACAAAGGTATTTCTGGTTGGGTTTTCCCAGATGCTTTGAGATGGAATTGAAGAAATGAGCAGCCCAATTTACCTTAGACTTGGTAATGAGGGCATTGATGATGAAGGCCCTCTCTTGGGTGATGTCATTAGCATGTCCTCCACTTCCACATTCGAGGCATGCGATGACTAGTTCAAGGACTAGCTTGTAGTCGTTGTTCAGATGAGTTTTCTTCGCTGGGCCAGAGAGAGTTTGCCGAGAAATTCCAATAATGTTCCAATCCAGATTCTTGGCTGGAAGTCTCCCAATTTCAACTCCAGAATTGGGAAGGTGAAGCTTTTCTCCCAATTTCTTCTGCGAAAGCTTCACTTTTGTCCCTCCAACAGTGGAATTGATGACTTGAATCGTCCTTTGTGGGTCCTTCTTCGATTTGACAGTCTTGACCTTTCCATTCTTGTAGAATTCAAGAACTTC